CAACACATGCACCATGTGCCAACCAAAGCATCCATGATGGGCTCACGCATGTGGGAACACTGCATGAGCACAGCAGCGACAGCGAATTGGGGGAGTTGCAGCAGCAGCAGCCGGCATGCGAGCCCGCGTGCATATGTGTGTGCGTGGGTGCGTGGTTGCAGGGAATGTGAATGGGAATAGAACACAACAGGCAGACAGCAAGCCATCACGTCAGCACAGCAGAACGAGTGACTGACACCACATTCACACGTGTGCGTGTGTGTCGATGTGTGTGTCCATCAACCCTCTTCCTTGTTCATTTCATCGCACCCCATCACCATCACAGCCCCATCACACAACCAACAACCACTCATCATCACCCACATGCCATGTGTGAGGCGAGTGCAGCTGGCACGCGTGACAAGTATCCTCGACGCTTCCCTCATCCTGCTGCTTGCGAGTGTGCATCGCCTGTAAGTGTTGTTGTGTGCGAGCACCAGCATGGTGAGTGCGTGGGAGGGAGGAAGGGAGCATGGATATGTGCGCAGCTACACTGCTGATACCACTGCTGGTGTTGTGCATGCATGTGTGTGCGTGAAGGAGAAAGGGAAGAGAGAGAAAGCAGAAAACAGAAGGGAGGGAACAAGACATGCTGCACCCCATCCATCCATCCATCCCTCTTCCTCACACCACACACCACTGTCCTCTGTCACCAGCCAGCCAGCCACACCACACTCACCCAGCATCCCCCACCCCACATCCCATGCATCCATCCATCCATCCAACACACAACTCCTCTCCGTTTTCCCTCTGCTTCACGCCCTCACCTCTGCTGCTGCTTCCAGCCGAAAACGCAACTTGTGCTGTCGCCACCTGTTCCCAGCTGCAAACAGCCAGCATCCGCAAGCAGCAGCAGCGGGCGATGGGTTGGTTGGGATGCGTTCAGCATCACCATTCTCTGCTGCTGCTGTTGCTGCTGCGGTTCTCCTCCTTGGTCCTTCGTGCAGGCAATCACAAGAGGAAGGTCGTCCATGTGCATGTGCACGGCAACAGAGGAAGTGGTGGTGGTGACGGTGGTGGGAGTTGTATTGGCGCTGTGTCGACCAACATGGTTGCTTGTTGGGTTTACAAACTGTTGTTCAACGAAAGAAGAACGGCAAATGAACTGAGAGCACTAACCCCAAGCCGCACAACACTCACACACACAAAAGACTACGCCCGTGACAAAACACACGTTCACAGTCACACGCGCGAGAATGCAAAACGCAAAAGTCAAACATCGCTGCCGTCTGCGGATGTTGTCATGCCAGCGACCCGGCGTTGGCTGTCCAGCAGGGCATTGGCAATCATACAGCCAGAACATGTGCACGGGAGTGACAGTGAGCGACGAACGAACCGCATCCAGAAGACACACACACACACACACATGACACACACACACACACACATGACACACACACACACACACAAACACGCACACACACACACACAAAAAAAAACACGCACACATGGGCAGGTGCGCGTACCTTCGCATGCTCTGTGGCGCGCTTTTCTTGGCCTTGCTGCGGAGATCCTCAATCTCGCGCTCAAGCTCTTCAAACGAAAGCTGCAGATTTGCCAGATACTCCTTCTGCATGACACACATGCACGCGTGCGATCAACGAAAGGAGAGAGACAGAGAGACAGAGAGAGTGAGCGAGTGTGTGTGTGCGCATGACAACGTGTCGCAGTTTCATCTCACACCACAGCCACATGGACACGCACATGTACACGCACCTGGTTCTCGGTTGGGTGTGCCTGTGTCTGGATTTGCTTCTCATACACGTGCAGGCCTGCTTTGCACGCGCGGAGGAAGGTGCCAAAACCGAGACGAAGCCGCTTGATCTGCACACAGCACCATCGATTCCAAAGGACCACGTGAGTCAAGGCAAACGGGTGGTCTGAGACCACACACACACACACACACGCACACACACGCACACACGCACACACACACACACACACACACACACACACACACACACACACACACACACACACACACACACACAC